GCCCCGCCATCTATCGCGGCGAAATATGATGATAATTTCGCCAAGATTACTACTGAAATTCGAAAGTTATCGCGCAAAGTTGCCGGGTAAAGAGATGGAGATTAGAGTTGCAAAGTTTCCCTACCGCATTACCGGCATGCCGGTAATTTTTCACTACCGCAGGTTTTTTTTGTGGTATCTGGCATGTCTTGCCGGTAGCATGCCGGTATTTTTGGTTTTGCACAAAAAAAATTATTAGCATATGATTCAAACTTTGGACTCTAAGAGGAAAATGTGGCATCTCTTGTAGGGGTAAACTGGAATCAACAATGCAGGTTTTTTAGTATGCCGGTAATTTGGTGGTGTTTTTGCTTTGGGCGTGGTAGCATGCCGGTATCCCCCAAAAAAATTGTGGGGCGGGGCGGTGCCGGTAGCAGCCTTTGGGGGAAACTTTGCAACTCTAATGGAGATTAATCTCAAAGGACGCCAGGCCGCTTTGTCTGACGAAAATGGCGCGACGGAGCTGCTTTACGGTGACAGCGCGCGACGGACGGGCCCGCCGCGACGGCGGACAAAGGGCCGGCCGGGCGGTCGTCGGCAGCGACGCGGCTCTCATCGTCGCCGTCGATGATGGCGGCCGACCGCCGAGACCCGGGCGCGTTTGTCACGGCGCGATGGTCCATCGGAGCTGAGCCGTCGGCGGCGGCGGCAGTTGATAAAACGTGCCCGCGCCGCCGCCGCCGCGCCGTCCTGCGGCCGGGCCATCCATCCTGGACGTGTCTCATTTCAGGGGATTTTCTCCATAAAACAGACGATAGCGTAAGCAATAGAGCGACAAAATGGGCCAGTCATAAATCGCCTGTAGCATATTGCAATCGGCCGCACCTGCCTGGGACGACTCCTGCGGCGGTCTCGACGCGACGGAGACACTGCTGAGCTGAGCCATCGACGGAACGACGCCTACGCGACCGATCGCGCCGGGCGGGGGACTTAGCACGGGGTTCATTGGTAGCAGGGGGCTCGTAAGGATGCCTACCACGGACGGGTGACGATCCACAAATGGCAGAAAGCGCTGTTCGGGGTGTATGTGAGTGCGCTCTGTGCAAACGTGTGGATGTCAAATTCGGACCATTTGCAATTGGATCGGCTTTACGATGCAGCACGCTATTTCGCTGTTTTATCCAGTGGGGAATAGGGAGTAGACGCGCTGAAATAGATCTAATATCAGTCCAACACTCAGTCGAGTGCTCAATTTATGCATACGCAATGGCCCAATACGTGCCCCAGGCTGAAAGGCAACGTGGTTAGGTATTGCTCGCGACTACTGGGACCTCTATCATGAATTTAATTGAGTCCACTTCGCCGGGTGGACATAAGACTAACGTGATTATTATAAGAACGCGTGTGGCAACTGTTAGCTGATTATGAGAAGTGCACTTCAGCTAACAAGGCGGACCATTTCATGCAATCGTAATGAGCCCCCAATTGCACAGTACGATAGGCGCCACGCATAAAGTGCACAGTCGTTGTCGGTGCCTGATCACCACGTGGGCGGTGGAGCGACGTCCGACTGCCATTAGTCAGCCATTCGGCGACAGTGGGCCGTTACCAGACTACACAGGACCACCCCGCCGCCGGAGAGTTTGAGACAGAAGGTCTCCGGGCGGCAGTTTGCAACACGCACCGCCACTCACCTAAAACACACTCAACGCCGGCTTTTGTGTCTTCAATTACGGCAACGATAAGCGTCCACCGGAGGCCGGCCTCGACGATTCGGGAAATTGCTCTCCGGCGCAACGAGGCGAAATTTATCTTTATTGCCGACATTCTGCGCCGGGGTCTGCTGGGGAGCGTCCCGCCGTCCCCATTACGGCCCGTCACCTTCCCCGGGAAAATTCACTTTAATCTCTCTATTTCCCGCCTAATACAGTGCCCGCCTAATCGCTGGGGTTAACTTACAATGTTAATGTGATTGTGATTTGGCCGGGATATCTCCCACTGGAGTTGGCGCGCCAAATTGGCTCCATTTGTATGCGCGCACATGCAGCCGCGTAAAGATGGGGCGAAATGCCCCGGGCGATAGGCGCTCTCTCCCTGGGGAGGGGCGCTGGCGCTCGCGGAGATAAACTCGCCGCTAACGGCGCTACTGCCAGCGCGACCAGAGGCTTTGTGGCGCGCTCTGCCGGGCAGGGAGGACGGGACTGGCTCCCGGATACGCCTCCTCAATGATGCCCTTCCGGCAGCTGGTGATTGCCGATGGGCAGAAGGGTAGCCACGTAATCCACTTGTGGATTACGCGGAAGTATGTATACGCAATAGTATGTATGTGTCTGTCTTAGGAAATTAATTAGTTTGTTTATGCGTGATTGCTTTCTAATAGCACGCTCAGTTGCAGTGGCCGCTTATGTATGTAAAACCAGCAATAAACTAAAAAGTAAATATATGGTAATCAGTCACCGTGCAAAAACTAAGGTTTATCACAATTTGGAGGATTCCTACTTCATTTGTATAGTTAGGTAGTAATGGGTACACTTTTACGCAGTACACTTTTAAGGACTCATGGGATCATGTATGTATAGAAACGTCATAGAACATATTTATGTTATGTAGCATTCAGTCCCTTGAATCATCATTAGTGATCTACTACTCATTATGTAATGAAGCCTCTGGGTATAATGCTGACCAGCTCATGACAGACATCAATTAAATGATTTGTCGCTGAAAATACCACTGTTGTCTGCTTCAAAGCTAATGTTCGTGCTACAAACATAAGTGGTCATAGTCAACAAAAAAGACCGCCCTCGGACCAAACCTGGCATTAACGAGTGTCGAGCGAGCGCCCATTGAGCCGCCTTCTGCGTCACTACCCCACCTACCTCAGTGGAGCGGACGGTGACGTCGCGTCACCGGCGCTGATTATGGCCGCATGGCCATACCGCCTGAAAGACAATCATACTCGACTGCATGTAACGAGCGGCGTGGCGATTTATGCTGTGAAGATCCGGTCCGAATGGCCCACGATAATGGCCAAACGTGTCGCTGGGGGAATAAAGTGAACACTCGGAAAACGATAGCGCGCAATATTCGAGCGACTGTGCGAGCCAGTAATAGAATGGTAATGCTATCAGTTCATCCATTTTTGCTTTTCTGGCAAGAGCTGAATGACTCGCAGTGAACCAATCACTAGCATTATCACCAGTGGCAGTGCTCGTGCACTCGGTGCATTTACCACATTGTGACAGCGTGTAATGAGATTACACGCAATTCCCAACGTGTTACACTGTCCAAGCCCCGTCACGGCACTTTGGTCTGTGATCTGATTTGTAGAGTCATTTCTCACTCACTTCTGAAATCAGCACACAGAATGGCATCGGCGGAACACATAGCTTCTTTTACATTCCCATGAACTCTGACAGCGGTTAGACCTTGTGGATGAACGCTTAGACTGTCGCAAAGAATCTCTAGCTCATTATCCTTTGTTTGCATAAATAATTTATATAGCACAGCATTGCACCTAATGCATCGGCCGAGCACTTTCCTGACTGACAAAGTTCCATCAATCAGCAGCCATTTATCCAGCTGCCTAATGTTGCACGTTGTGCCAATTATCTATTTGCGCTCATTTGAAGTGGTCGTGCAGACGTCAGCACTTGTGACGTGGACATGCAGTGTCGCCTGCTCTTCAGGCGCCCCATCGACCGATACTGAGTCGCTTCATGGGCCCTCTCGGCAATTATGTCAACGTAACGATATGCTCATTAGCAAACGAGCCACTGGGGAATCGGATCGGCGCCCGACAGAAATAAAGCGGCCCGACGAACAGCACCTATGGCCGGTCAGCCACTGTGCAGGGCATTGAAGTGCAGTGTTTTATATGAAATGTGATGGACATTGGACATGGCATGATTGAATGGCGCCAGGAGTGACAGCCGGTGCAAGCTCCTCTAGGGAAGCTGATGTGCATTTTGGGGGACGGGTTGTTGGTTCATTCATTAGGCGAGGTGTCTTTATGATAATTAATAAGTAAATAAGGTAGTAAAATGCAGGAAGCTAGGAGCCCTTCCCCTTAAGCTGCAGTAGCGCTTACTGGTATGATTCAACCCTCATACCGTAGCGCATAGGTATGTATATCTGTATATGCAATATGTATTTCCCCTAGCTTGGCGTGCCCAGCCGCGTTCCAAGTACCTACTCCACTAATGAACTGACCCACCCGGATATCCTGTTTACCAACTTGTCATCTGAAGTGCTTTTGTTAAAAATTGGCACATGTCATATTTCACAGACAAAGCCAGTTATGGGAAATCCATTCCTTTGCCGATGGGTTATGCACCCAATAACATGAGTTATGCTCTCTTTTAATAGCACTGTTGACGTCAATGGCAGTTGCGATGGATATCTGGCTCCGAAGTGATCTCACAAAGTGACGAGTTATTTCGCGCCCGGAACGTTTCTACATAGATCGAACTAGGGAATTGTGATATTGCAGCGCTTGTCGCTATGGCCCATATGACACCCGAGGGCCAAGGTAGAGTACCTGTATCGTGATATATTGTGCACCTCCTATTCAGCGGCCTATAAAACCGGGTGATACTGCATCGAATAGTGTCGATCTGCATCGATGATCGCATTCGCCTTACAATACACACTACACGGCTTGGTCTGTGCCTGTGGTGGCATCTGCATCTATCGGGTGTTTGGACGTCGTGCACAAAATCAACAGGAGGCTCGCAGTATCGGTCGGTTCCTTGTGGCCCAGTTCTGTCGGCACTGAATCGCACCATTCAGCCCCAGCGGGTCGGCGGCGGCGCAATCGTCTCTTAATTGCGGCGGCAGTCGTCCGATGACACTGAGCGGCGTGTACCAACCCAGTCATTGAGTGGCCGCCCGCCCGCAGCGCCCATTAGACAAATGATAATTGTGCTGACGTTGAAAAATACGCGAATAAAGCACGGAAAGGCAGCCATCAATCCAACAGCGGTGTCCCTACTGACCGGCGGAATCGTAAAAACACACAGCACTTTCCGTTGAACTCAGTATATTGACAACTAGGGCAACAAATAATCATCAACAATACAGGCTGCATCACCATGCCACTCTATCGGCGACCGTCCAGTGCGGCCGCAAGATTCCTTGTGACACATCGCGGAAAATCGGCGCATTTTGTTTCAACTGGCGGCTGCAACGACCCAGGGATTGCCTCTACAGTCATTTCACCTAGTTCAGACACGCTTATTCCACCCCTGCCACGATCAAGATAGCCTACGCGTGGAAACTGGACTGTGGACAGGTGGACTGGGACGCGTGGACGCGACGGGCTCCACCAGAGAGTCCACTAGTGCGCCCAAGCTGCGCCGGCAGGAACTAGTCACATTTGATTCTGCAGTCGGCCAATCAGTAATATCGATATGTCTAGAAAGACAGCCTAGCACGTTTGACGCTCCGCAGGCTCCCGGCTCATCGCGTCAATCACCGGGCAGAGCAGGATCTCTGCGTTATGGGAGCGCCTTCGCGTGGAATGTATCCTATCCACCACGGTACATAGGTGACGGTTTTCCGTCAACTCGACGATGAACTCCGCGAACTTTGGTGAAAAACGAACGGACTTGTCTCCAGGCATCAACTATCGACACTGCATCAACAAATGCAAGAGGGATCTCAGAGGGGCAAACTAGCTCAAAGCAAATTTACATGCGAATGATGGTAGAGTGAGCGCACGAAGAAGGCCGGCAACTGAAATATTTGATCTCTATTTGATTTAAAATATACTGAACCTGAATGATATCCTTCAAAAAGACATACTCAGCTAGGATTTTGAAAATGGTTTGGACCTTACCACACAACCTCAACTTATATGTTGTACGAGTAACACCTTCTGTCTGCCTAAAACATCACTGTTACCGAGTATCTATCTGGCTACCCATAGATGTCCATCACAATCAACACAAGACCAGTCCAACAATTAGCACTCTACGCCGGCAAACAGCATACTCCTTGCACTCATCTCCGCACGCATACACACCCGCAATTAAGACGTAGCAATCACCGCATCTACCGCGCACCGGTGTCTACTGCAAGCAACTCATCATAGTCGCTAGCGGTGCAAACAACATCGGTAGATTCATGCACCGCACTTACACCAAAGGCAAGGCATCTAACATAACTTAGAGACGTCAAATTTAAAGCCACAAGTATTGCGTTCTTCACCTAGATAACAAAAGGATGGACATTCACACACCCCACGACATTCGCCTACAGCCGAAGAGCGCGATGGAATTTCGGGCATATCCATCCATCGAGAGTACCTAGCGACATGTCCTCTTGTAAGAGAGCAGCACTACGACTTCTACAGCATGAGAACGTCTCAGTGGTATCCCATCTAGCTGACACAGTGAGACGGACACTCTCCATTACTTGGTAAAAGAACGATCTGTAAACGTCCTGGAATCTGCCTGGCTCAGCCCGCCCCAGATAAACAGAAACCTCGTCTAGTTGTTTCCCAGAAAGTCCAGCGTACCGTCTTCGGATGACCGTTCCGGCAGCACTTAGATTGATCTCAGCTGGGACGGACTCCATTGCTCTGGAACCTCGATAAACGGTTCTGAAGAGCATTAGTCAGACAGCGTCTAAGACACTCCCTCAACCCAACTGGCCTGGCAACTTCCTGATTCTCCTAGATGGAGACTAGTTTCCCTCGCGGGCCGGGGCTACTTCAGCGAGTCGAGCCCGACCCGACCTGACAGCAGCAGGCCCCTCGTCAGGGCTCGGCCAGAGGCGAAGCGTTCGTCAGTCAGTTCCACTAGCCCCAGACGCATCTACCGCGTCCCTCGGCGGCTCGTTTTCCCACCCGAGTCCCTCTGACCTCTCAGCGCGGACTGCTGCGCGGAGAGGTGCCGGGCGGTCTCTCTGCCTCGGTCGCCTCCACGGAGACTGCCGACGGTGACGGTGACGGCGCCGCCGCCTTCCCGGGGCTGGCCGCTGCCGGGCTGAGCAGCCGCGGGTAGATGTAAGGAGCGTACCGCTGCAGCGCCGCCGGGTACACGGGCCGCGGCAGGCGCAGCGCGTCTCCGTACCCCTGCTGCTGCGCCAGCGAGGCGGCCGAGTGGCAGGCCAGCGACTGCTGCAGCTGGCTGGCCAGCATCGACTGCGACTGCAGCGCCGCCCACTGGCTGAGCAGCGGCAGCGGCACGGGCAGCGGCGCGCGCGGGTAGCCCAGCAGGCCGGCGCCGGCCGCCGAGCTGGTGGGCGGCGCCGACTGGCGCAACATCATCTGTGCGCGCGCCGCCAGCAGCGTCTTCTCCTCGGCGGTCAGGTTGCAGGCGTCGAACACGGGGTGCACGCCAGGCAGGTAGGGAGGGTGGTCGACCAGCAGCGTCTCGAACGTGTCCCTGTAACAGTGAGGGGAACTGTGCCAGGGTCGTCGCTGCCCTCTCACGCAAACATCGGGGGATGGAACCGACACGGGAGACGCATCCGGCTTAGAGGTGACTCGACAGGCGTAGCAATTAGAGAGATAGAGGAAAGTACTTAGGCTGAAAAGAAAACTCTGCGAAGCATTGCACCAGAAAGGGAAGAAATGAATATGTAAATGCTGGCTCGAAGCAATGCCCAAACATGTGCAAGTGCTTTGCTCAAATTAGATTGTTCTGTGTTTTTGCCAGACAGCAAGAAGTTTAGCATAAAATCCGCAGCAAAAATAGCGACTTGTCAGTTTCGAAAGTTGGGAAGAACATTTCGCTGGCAAACTTAAGAGCAAAATTGCTAATTTGCAAAACCTTTGCACACTCAGCAGCTGAATTCAATTAACTTTTCTCAACACAAGAAACTCGCCGCACCTAATTGCTCACACCGCTGCCGCAATGTACTCAACTAACCGGAGGAGCAACACAAACATCCAAAATCTGAGCTATTCGCCGGCAGGACTCTGCAGCTCAGTGGTCAGCAGCTCAGCGGCTCAGCCACTCCGTCCCCGTGTGGTCGCCACATCGAGCGTCGCTGAAGGCGTTAAAGCGATCCCAACGGCGGCAATAATTTGGCGATCGCGTGCCTCTGACTGATGCGTCATCGGCGGCGTCGGCGGCGCGATCGCCGCGCTGGGATCGGCCGCGGCGCGACGCTTTGATGCGGTCGGAGCGTTTCCGCCACGGGCCCGGCGGCGACCATGGATAGGTAATTATCGCTCAGCTGCAACGGCGGCGGTCTGAGACGAGCCGTGTGGATACAGCGGCGCACGACACCGACCGCTACCGGCTCGGCCCAACGTGTTACACGGGTGAGCTTAGAATGGATGGCCTGCTGATGAGTCGGGTGGATTCTTAGTTCACAGAAACAACTTATCAGCAGCGAGGCAATGAGTGATTATGTTTTGTGAGGCGAAAGTATTGTGCTGGTGGATACACATCACAAAGCGGGCACCAAAATAAATATTTTATTTATCAATGAATGCATCATTCTGGCTTTTCCCGTGTGTGCATAATCATTACCATTTTTGCAATAAATATGCACATTGCACATAGTAAAGGCATAAATATGAGCTATTTTCGCGAGGATTAGGTTCTGGCTATCTGAGCATTTACGCTTGCGACCATTGCTGGACGACCACACAAGCCGTCACCATCCTTGGCTGATTCTGGCGACTCTAATAGCACCCCACCATTTCAGAAAATATACGGCACTCGGTGCCGGAGGTAAACCCATGCTAGCCATGTCCTTGCCGGCTCTGGAGGCCCTCCTCAGTGTTCACAGCTCGCAGCAGGGCGCGTGCCTACCGCACCGTTTGCTGGGCGGCGCTTGCCCGAGCCATCCCGCCGCCGCTGCCGCCCAGCCGCTTATCTTGACAATACAATTTGGAGGGGCGGCGGTGACCGGCGGGCGGCGGCAGCACAAAAAGGCGCACCAGAAGTGGAAAGTTGACGCGCAGGACTGCAATAATGAGACGGGCAGGCGAACAAAAACGCGCCACCGACGGAACGAGAGCTACTGGCGCCGGACGGCGGGCGACAGGCATCACTCGGCGGCCGCCCCCGCCCCCGCCCCCGCCCCCGCCCCCGCCCCCGCCGACCGACAGTGACGGTCGTTGGCGGAACGGACGGGAGCGCGCTTTGTGTGGTCTGAACGGGGAGCACGCCGCCACGGGGCGCAAAAAGTGACCACGGGTCACTCCAGGCATCCCGCGCTGCCGTCCAGATGCTGCCGGGTGACGCGGTCCCAGTGGGGTGCAGCGGGTTGCAGCGGGGTGTGGCCGAGTGTCTGTGGGTGTGGGTGGGATGAAGTGTGATCCTGAAGAGGAGAGGAGTCGACTTGCAACAGGAGCAGACCGCCAGGTAGCCCAGGTAGCCGGTGATGGCGGCGAATAGCATTGAGACTGGTGATTTGCTCTCTCCGGTAGAGGAAAAAAGAGTCCTCGAGGTGTCCTCGAAGTGTCAGAACAGTGCCAGAGGTTTTCGGTGGTCGTAAACATTGATCGGAAGGGATCTCAAGACGACAGCATTAGACGGCGAATGAGGGATCAGACGGCGCAGCGAAGCCACCGCCCAAACGTCTCGCCGAGAGCCCGCTGACGTCCCGCCGAGCTGGCTGCCAGCGGAGGAGGGCCGGTGACCGCCGCCGTCCCGCCACATTCCGTCCTCCTCCGATCGGTGGCGAATGACACGATGGTGCGATCAGCACCCTGACGAGAGATGTGAGCCGTCTCCCGCCTGAGAAATGCCCCACTACATCAGGGCAGCATCGCCGCGGAGCGCGCTGCCAGCGACACGTCGGGAACTTAGCGCCGCAGATGTTTGGGCCTCGGCAGCTGGCTGAGTCACATTGAGCTGTCACATAGCGGCTGAGGCAGCTCATCAGGCTGTCTTTAGCTCTTCCAGACCATAAGTAGGTCCGATTAATCAGTAATAGTTGAGCTTCTGCCAAATGATTAGCATAACTCATCTGACTATCACGTCTTGTTGCAGAAATGTGATGCACCAAGATCGAGAGGAGTCTCCTTCCTAGAAATGAAAGGTCGCCAATTCCAGCACACAGTAACCACGTCACCTTTGCCCTTCGGATAACTGGCTGGCCTTACGAGCCAGGCCGGCAGCCGACGAACCGAGAACGTCGCCGCCGACGAACCGAAAACGTCGCCGCCGACGGCCGACGGGGGCGGTGGGTAGATGGTATCGAGGCCGTTTGGAAAACAGGCGTGAAACGAGCTGCCGTCGACCGGCGCTTTGTTCAGACCCAACGCAGAGGGGAACGAACTACCGGAACCAGAAGCAGAAACGGGACTGCCGGCCAAGCTCAGAGTCGGAAGCATGTATGTAGCCAAGACAGAGAGCAGGTTCACGGGCAGTGCCAGAGTCAAAGCCGTTTGCTAAGGTTGGAAGTTGGAAGAAGAAGAAACCGAAAGAAGAGGCAGCGAGCGTTACAACAAAATCATGGCAGCCTATTGGCCCATTTCTCTAAAATTTCTTGTGAAAAAGATAACTTATCGACAGACCAACCAAATGCATGAACATCAGTGGCACGTTTGCATCCATTTAGGCCGCCGCATCCCGACACGAGGCCCGCATCCGGTCTGCGCCTGACAGCTGCACAAAACAACGTGACGTACTCAATAACCAGGCTGTTCTTCAGGCTCCAAAAACGCACCGTGGCGCGTCAGGTCTCCACGCTCCACCGCGTCCTCTGTGGCACCTCACAGCCGCGACTCGGTCTGGCGGCGTTCGACACCCGCCATCGCGCCAAAAAACATCTCGCCGCCAGCTGCGGGGCGGAGCGGCCCCAATCAATACCAGCTCCTGCGGCCTCTGCGACTCTGCCGACGCGTCGACGGCCGGCCGACGCCAGCCGACGACTCCGGCCGCTCGGTCCGGCGAACGAGCGGCCAACGACGCCCGGCGGTGACCCGACGGAGGCACTTCAGCGGGTGATCTGTAGATGACCTGACTGATAGTGAGTGAACTGTGGATGACCTGATGACGAATGGCCAGAAAAAGACTCGACAGTGGCCTCAAGGGAAACTAAATTCAAAATAACAATACCTTGGCAATGATGTGTCGTAAATATTCAAAAGGTATCTCAATCCATGCAATATCTGAGGATCATACCAGAATCAGCACCTATGGAGGCGACCCGAATCGTTTTGCAGGTCATCACAAGTCTACCACAACCCTTCCATCCTTATCTATTAGATCTACTGACTCTAGTTAAATCGTCTGGTCAGCCTAGTCCCCATGAAAAGTATTCCAACACAACTCTGTCAAACCGGCACCCTCTCCAGCACGAGCCAGCTCGACGACGGTCCTGGGGCGCTCCACTAACACAGTCATCCGGACGGCGCTCGTTGTCGGTTTATGCGCGGCCGTTGGACGCCGAGTGCCGCCATTGCCCGCGGGCTGAGTGGCCGTAGGCACACGGTCACGACAGTGGCGAACTGTTAGCTGGCACTCACGAAGGCCGACGAGCGGGCAGTCAGGCGACCCGGGCCGTCTGGGACTCGTGACCCGACAAGGTCAGACACGCGATGGAGCTCTCAAACGCTGGAGTGCGATGGCAGACTGGCGGCGGTATATTTGATAGAGATCTTTATAATTGTTTTGTAAAATTTTGGTAGTTTGTGCTAACAACTTCCTTATCCCTATGCACCATGTAATGAGTTTGGTAGGAAATGATTTATAATCTTTTCTTACTATTGTGATGAATCTTGATGTTCAGCGTGGTTTGGATTATACCAAACCACTAGCGAATGATTAAAAACAACACAATACCAAATCAAGTGGTCGATCGTTGCAACACTGATGGAAGTTTGCTGCACAACGATATTCCTTCTATGTCAATATTAATCCGCTCCATTAGCTACGTATGTATGCACGCAGAAGGCCCAGCACTCCCTCCCCTCCCAACACCCCTCCAGCGCCCACCACAGCCCCCCCCCCCCCCCCGGTGGGACCCGGGGCTCTCTCCCGGCGGGATTGAGCCGTCGGATCGGTGGTCGGCGCTGTTGATCCGGCATGGCGGCGTTTGTTTGCCACCGGCGCACTCAAACAGAGGGCCATTTGTAGCCGGCGGCGTGCCACGTGCCACGCGCTCCCCCGGCTCCCCCGGCTCCCGCTCGGCTCCGGCGGCTCCCTGGGGGGGCCGGGAGCCGGGCGGTGACCCGTGCTGACCCAGGATCCGGTGCGCGCCCGCCGGGCTCGGCCGTGGGAGACCCGGTGCCGTCGCTCCGGTTACCCCCAGAGGGACGGCCGGAACTGGCGCTTAGATATATGGGGCGGCTCTTCCGCCCCGGGGGAGAGCACGCACACAGACGGCCACCGTCGGTAAACGGTGTCACATGGACTGGTTGTTTTAGGTAACCAAGGATAATGCATAGCTAAACACGCAAAAAAATGCTGATAGAAATCGCTGGCAGCAATGGAAAAGGATAACCGTAGAAAAGCCAAAATAAAGGAGTATTTTACTTGACAAAATGATAAATCACAAATCATGGCACAATTTTTCACAACACAGGACGAACTGCCAATATTCCAAATGGCCAATGTCACATAGCGGGCCAGTGGATCCATCCATTGAATAAATAATATGTCGGTGGATCATTAGCCGCCAATAAAGTAGGAGGCTCTGAAATTTACAATGGGCGTAGCGACTGTAGCCGTTCTTTGCGATCAGCTGTCGGCCTCAGCCAATACGTTACGGACCTGATCGTGAGTAACGAAGGCCTAAGTAACAATTTACATTTCGAATGCAAAAGAAAAATAATTGGCTAGGAACATCGATTTCATAATCCTTATACAGGAAAAGTAATCTAAAATTTCGAAATGTTTCTAACGAAGCTGAGACTAAGAGGAAACTTGAAGCTCTGAAAAGCGGCACACAATTTTTGATTGTCTGTGAGATTGGCTGTATCAAGCTACCATCTCTCTTGATACTTGCTAAGCTTGATAGAAAACGAAAAAAATGAAGTGAGGTCAGGAAACAGTTTCTCCCTTTTCCTTGTGCACGCGCCACGCTCACATTCTACTGTATATAGTTGCCAGCCATCGGATGAAGAGCTCCTCTCGTCTCCCGTGGGCCAGCCTGGTTGAGTTTGACGGCCCATGAAATCCTCTCCTGTCCGTCCTGCCCTCCTGACGTCTGACAGTGCGGGCGGCGCGACCCTCTCCGGTTCTTGCAGCGCGCGTGACAGTCGAGTGTGCGCGGCGCGCGAGGGGCGAGGCCGGACGGCAGCCCGCCCGCGCACGATGTCTCCGATAACCACACACTGAGCGGCGCGCGGCAAATAAGCGTGAAAAACCCGACACCGGAATGCGAGATATGAGGCCGCCGGTTATTAACGACTCAGCCCTACCGCCGCTGCTGCTGCCGTTGCCTCTGCGTCGCTAGGAGTGGTGGGTGCCTCGCGCCTACCATGCTTCGAGAACGCCTCGCAAGCGCCAGGCGCGCCGGCGCTGGCGATGGAAGGGTGGCCGGTTCCGGGGCGCGTCGTCATGGTGATTTAAGGCGTCAAACTGTTGTTTTTATCGCGTGCCTCAAGTGTTTGTGTGGCTCGGCTGCAGTGTGGCCGACAGCGGGTGCCACGGCGCCATGGGAGGCGGGGCTGCCGCAGAGAGAGGAGCTCCGGGCGGGGTCGGACCAGCCGGAAAGAACGGGTGCAGGCGCGGTAGCCCCGCCCGGTGGCAGCGCACGCCTGACGCGCTCATCATACAGCCGACGTGTGGGGAGCAGACCACCCAGAGTGGCGCAGAACAGACGTGAAAAGCCCGCCCCAGAGGTCGGTCAGAGTGACGGAGCTTCTGTGTGATATGGATCACAGAGAGCCCTGAACAGAGGCTCAGACCCGGCATCGGACTTTCGAATAGATAAGAGGAATTGCGGTGTGTCTTTAACAGGCACGCCTATCCACGTTCATGGGCAGTGATCGTGTCATTGTTGAAGAGTAGGGTAACTATGGGGAAAACGCACCCCTGGGTTAAACGCCTCCCCTAAAAAAATCGTATTTCTTATCGACGGATAGGTGTTTTATCCTGTCTTTCAGAACAGTCAGCTGCTTGTTTACGTAGGTCTCTATTTCCGGTTCTGAGTCTTGAGGAGCAGCGTGTGTAGGTGCTGATGTTAGTTTTGGGTGTTGTTTTTGTTGTTTTTACAGAAGATTCCTAATATTTTGATGCCCTCTTTATATCACAAAACTTGCTATTGTGCACATCACTCAAAACTGCGTTTTATTGTCATTCTGTTGAATATATTATGCTGCGGCGTTAGTGGCGCGTTTTTTGTCAATATTTTGTTGACCGGAAATGGAGTGGATGGGGCAAGACGCCTACTCGATGCATGGGGCAAGACGCCCCCAGTTTTCTGAAAGGGGGGCGTTTTGCACGGTGGTGAAAGTGCAGGGTAGCGCCCTGTAGGTCGGGGCCGAAAAGGCCTCTCCCTGTCCTTTTTTGCTGATATATCCTAAACGACTGCAGATATCGTCACCAAACTTTCAGGACTCCTCCGGGCATCCATTTTACACATTGCAACAAAATTTTATTCCAAAGGCTATGATAGGTTGACCACAAATGACGTCAGAATGGCGTTAAGTTCTGCCATGTTCATCATTTTCTGTTGATAGATGGGGTGGGGGCGCTTTGCACATGGGTGTGGGCGTATTACCCAGGGTATGGGGCAAAACGCCCTTTTGCAAGGGTATGCGAAAACCTTTTGGGGGGGGTTAAATACCTCACGCAGGTGTCTTTTCTTGGTCTCAAAACGTAGTAAAAAGAATGAGCTACATGATGGTGCCCAAAGGTTTAAGTGATCTGTGTTGGGTTGAGTGTCAGAAGGTTTCGCGCTTAAGGGGGGCGTTTTTGACCTATTCACCCTACATCTTCGCCCTTTTTTTATCAAACATAGCAAGTTCCATAGAGCGATAGGGAAAATACGTAAAATAAAATGTCTTCAGACTTCAACGCCGCAAAGTGTTCTTCTCCACTTCCTCATGATCAATAATTCATTTTTCCATTTTCAGGACGTAAAGAAGCAAGGTCTTATATGACGAGCGTGCACAAATAAGACCGATATTCAGTGAAGTCTTTCCAACTCAACCCTCTGACTTACCTCTCAAAGTCGGTCAGCCGAGACGAGTCCCTGAAGCCCTTGGCAAACGGGTTGCTGTCGATCTTCAGCTTGGTGATCTGCAACACAACGCATGTCAGCCTCATTATCCCTGATGCACGAATACTGCAACCTTATTGCAACCTTGCAATAAGAGACACACATACGAAATTCCAAGCACATAAATCATATAAAACTCATTGCGTTCTTAACAAATTGACTATCTGCTTCAGCACACTCACCAGCTGGTTCTGATAGGCGGTGACGGCGGTGAACACGGTCTCAGGGAAGATGAACGTCTTGTAGTCCTGTCCCTCGAGGTCGGTGATGGTTCCCCCCTGGCCCTCCTTCCTCAGTATGAGGTGGACGCGCGGCTGGTATCGGTGCATCGAGTTCAGGATGATCTGAAATAAAGCAGTCATCATCAGTGGTAATCATTGTGCATGTGTATGTGGCAATTCATGCAGGGAAGTCCAGAACTTAATTGTGCAGGTTAGTTCATAAGATGAGCAGTTAACAAATAACGGAAGATTGCAATTTCGCTCGTATCATCTTTACTCTTGTTCATTATAGTTATTTTCATCTTTATAATCTTCTAAGAAGTAACTATGTAGGTAGGTCGGTATTTCTAACAGTTAGTTTTTCAGTCGTACAATGTCACGACGGGCCCAGTGCATCGCAACGCATGCAATCCTGCCGAACTCACCAGTCCGCTCTTATCCATCTCGTTGTTGGTGACTTTGATCTTCTCGAAGGAGACCACCTGTTTCTTGAGCTGCTCGCCGTTGAAGGGACAGTCGGGGTGCACGTAGAGCCGGGCCGGCGCCGGCGGGTCCGCTTTACCGGCCACCAGCCACGACGAGCGGTGGTAGGCGTAGCGGTAGCGCTTGTTGTCTGCAGGGACGATGTCCAGCACGACCAGGAAGCGCTGCTCCAACTTCACTCCAGTGAAGGAGACTCGGATGGTTGGGAACATCCGCCTGAGGGAGAGAAACAGAGGGCAGTCGGTTAACTAGGAAAAATATGTTGAACGAAGGACTAGTTGAGAGAAAGTAGTGCAACTTTATGAGTAGAAGGCTTAAACTAATTATATAATTGGTTAATGATAAGAAGAAGTTGCAAATCGGAGATACACAGAAGCAGTACACACTGCACATTTGTGACTAACTCTAAGCGGTCATATGTGGTTATCTGTGGTATGTGGAGAAACATTAATTCATCTGGCGTTCATCTCCATTGCTGCGAGCCGTGCCACGGCAGCGCTGCTGTCTTATCCAGCACCGATCGCCCCCGGGCCAGCCAATCACCGTTCAGACATCTGATGACGAGCCCTCGGCTCGGCACACCGTCTCTGCTGCCGCCATCGGGCGCTGGCGGCGCGACGTGCATAAACAGCACACAGCTCGGGCATACAAATGCGCCGATAAGGCAGCCAAGTGTCCTAATGCGTGAACGATCAAGACAGATGAGACACCTTTCACGTCATTCCGAATGACGATATGAGAAAATCACCTTTCTAGGACACGTCGATGCGGGCGCATTCACAGACGTCACTCGTGTGTCAGAATTTGAGACAATCAATTTGAATCGATCTCTCATTTCTCCGCCTAGTGTCATACCGTTACCATAATCCTCGAGATGACTGAGATGTTCATTTTCCCAGCTCCGCCCTGAAGTTCTGCTTCCAACTCCGCCTTGTCGCTGACAGAGAGCTCCCCTCCTCCCCACCCTGCGCCCCCTCCCAGACCGGCACCTATTCCTGGCCTCCGGGTCAGCAGCCACAAATGACCGTGTCACTCTGCCGTCGACGAATCATCGCGCCGTCACGCTCCCGTCACGGGCGTGACGCCGGCGTGACAGGCGGCGTGACAGACGGCCGGCTATATCGGGGTGGGCCCCACCGCGCCTCGTGGGTGGGGAGACGCCCCTCTCGGCTAGCCGTCATGAGGGCGAGTGGGAGGGGAGGTGGCGCGTGCCGTGAAGTCCGTTCAAGAGAAGTGGTGATAATTTGTCAAGGAGAGGGTATTACCGCTGGTGGTTTATTTGTTGCGTGTTGTTCATAGACGTCAAGTTTGTTTATGTTGCGATGATCGATGATAAAGAAAAACTTGTAGGTTACATTGTATTGGATGAGGGTAAATCAATTCTTGAATCGAATGCTGACTGGACCGGCATGAAGTCTTTTTCGATATCATAGTGCACTTTCGTTCTATGTCGCTCAAACAGGTGTGCTTGCGAATACAATTACTTCTCTATCAATTTCTTCAAAATAATAGATGTAGCATCCTTCAAGTTCACACGTTCAGTATCAATGCTGCTGCGAGGCCAGTACCCACTCTTGCACCAGTCATGCGCCAGCTTTATTTTCTACCGATAGGTGGCAGCACGAATAAACGCCTGCAGGTAGACTGTACCGCATGACTCGCACATTGGTACGGGAGCTTACAAACCTGAGTGTTCAGTGTGGCATGTAAATGTTAAAACATCTTTGCAAATGTGAGCCATGGTAGCATTTCGGACTGAAAAATGTACCGTGGAACATTGTAAAAGCCCACTCTGACCACCAAGCATGGCATCCCGCATAAAGCGCACAGCACAGTGCTGACGCCTCGCCAACTGCCATCACACCTTGGTGACCACTCTGGCTACACCGAGGGCGTGCCCCGCATATCCCAGAGCTTTACTGTCCCTCCACCCACCTCGGGCCCAGCGCGACACCGCCCGACACACCCGACACGGCCTGACAATCCGACAACCCGACACAGCCGACACGGCCTGACAATCCGACAACCCGACACAGTCGGCAGCCGGCGGTCCGTCGCTCCCACTCCGCGGCACGCGCCGGCGGCAGGAATGTGACGAACGCGGCGCATTCTGTAGGCATTAGCGGCGCGGCTGCGGCCTGGGTGGCGCGCCGGCGGCGACATGTGGCGCGTTTCGCGTCATGAGCGCCGCCTCTGCGGCTCGATTGTCGCCGCGTCAGTGATGCACTGCCGCTGTGATTATGATTGGTGACTGTGATGGGGGCGCTGGGACGTGGAACCGGCTGCGAGCAGCGGAGCTCCGAGGTGGTCCGAGGAAGGAATGACCCGTGTTTAAGTGGGTGGGTGCTCGTGAAGAGTCTTGATATATTAGAGGTGATGGGGGGAGGGAGTGCTGCTGGCGCCAGGTTCAGTCGTAGCGGTTCGGCAGCTGCAGCGTGCACATGTGCCTGCTTTAGGCAGTTAGAAGGGCTAATGGATTTTCAATGTCCAAGTCGTCGCATAGCGTTGCTGCAATGAATAACACTCGGCACTGGCACTTTTCTAGCTATAATTTCTGGTCTGTCCTAATAAACATTTATTCCAATTATAAATCACTGTGTAATTATCAAAATAACTACCTATCCGCAGAGGCCCGCTTTCTAGACCCTTGCAGTATCCGAAGAATTACAAGTGTCATGACACACTTGGTCGTCCATTGCGTCACTCCCAATTATTGCTAAGTGATACCTAGATGGCAGCGAAGCTGAGAGCCACCACCGCTGAGTTCTCTCCACCGCGCCCGCCGGAGACAGCGGTCGTCGGTGGGTGCCAACGGGGCCGACGGCGTGTCGCGCTGCGTCGACACCGTCGCTCTGTCTGCGCGCCGTCAGCACCATCACTCTACCCGCTCCGGCGCTCTCTCTCTGCTCCGACACTCTCTCCCTCCCGTCGGCAAAACACGGCCATTCATCTGGGCCGGGCGCGCCGGGAACGTCGCCGGCGCCGACGGTATGCCGCGCGCCGCCGGACCTCCGTCGACGATGTGCGCCCATTAGCAGACTCTAATTTAACGTGCTAAATAATTTACGATGGGTGCACCGAGCGTGTCAGCCTCTGCGATTGGCCGGCCAGCTCGGCACGCACCAGAGAGACGCGTGGAATACGGCGGATGTCCGCGAGCCGCCGACGCACCCAGCCTCCCTCCCAATGGCCGGGCCGCGCGGCGGCCATTTTCCTGCGCGCGCGCCGCGGCGATGTCGGCGCGCACCGCGTCGCCTTTGTCTCGGCGCGGCCAGGTGACGCCGGGGACGTAATCGGCGCGGTAATCAGCCGGATGGGATTACTGTGCGGCGCGGTATCATCGTGGCCGGTAACCACAGTGGCGCTCGGCACGCCACCCGCGCCGCCCCCGTTTGTCCACCGCTTGATTGCCGCGCGTCTAAGGCGACGTAAGTGACGCGCCGGACGACGTAAGTGGCGCGACGCGGCGACCTGCTGCCGCCGGACACATGGTGGCTGCCTCGGGGCACGCGGCACTAATGGAGCTCGTTGGCCGGTCGGAACGGATTAGGACGACACGCGCGGCCGACTGCCTCCTCTCCGGTCCGCCGCCGCGCCCCGGGCACCTCTGAGCGGCTGAGGAACTCACTAAGCAGATGAGAGGCTCTGGGCAGCTCTGAGGAACTCACTAAGCAGATGAGAGGCTCTGGGCAGCTCTGAGGAACTCACTAAGCAGATGAGAGGCTCTGGGCAGCTCTGAGGAACTCACTAAGCAGATGAGAGGCTCTGGGCAGTTCTGAGAAGCTCTGAACGTGGAGAGGCAGCTAAAAGGAATTTTAGGGAAACTGACTTCAGCACGCAATCGATGAGCATCTGAGCAGGATCATAAGAGGAGAGATGACTGGCTACAAATGACCCCCCACCTGTCCGTGCTTCTATCCTCAGGATACTGAAATCCTTCTCCTCCACGCCGCAACCCCCTTCCGGGCTGGACAGGCAACTTTATCTCATGCGGGCTGCTCCCTTGGAGCGGCACCGCTGCTCCTGAGGGAGCGCACCCCGTAGCCGGGTGCAGTGAGTGCCTTGGGACTGGGTGGCCTGTCCTCTGGACGGGCTCAGCCCCGGCGACTCACTAGGGTGCCTGCCCAGACCAATGTCTCCCCCTAATTCCTATCATCCTTCCGGCTCTGCAATGGTCTTGTCGACCGAAAGGGCCTAACCCAACAAAACAAACAAACAAACAAGCTACAAATGAGCCAGCACGAGACAGCCAAAGATCACTAGTGAACAAAATCAGGAGCACCAGAGAAGAGCCACTGCGGCGCTGTTTTTCCGATCAACCGATCTGCGAGCGACGGCGGTAGCGGTGATCGGAGCGGCCGCTGTGCCGACTTGCCAGCTGCTGAAATATGCAGACGCTCGATGGAGCGGCGCTGAAAAATGCAGCTCGCCGTAACGGCCTCCCGATCGCCGCGCTCGCCGCAGACACGTTAATGTTTAATGGCCGGCGGCCGGCGGCCGGCAGCCGGTGTTCGAGCACCGCTACAGTGAAGAATAACAACATGGAGGCTCGCCCGGTCAGCGTTCTTGGTTTGTAGGGGGATAGAAATGGTCAGTGTGTAAGTGCCTTGGTCTGCCCGTCGCCAGATCGGCTTGGCTCGTCCCCTGTCTTTTGCAGAACCAGCAACTGCTAATGTGCTTCTGGTCTGGCTATCCCGCGTCTGCTTTTCGTGTCTGATCAAGATTCAAGTTGTCGAAAATTCATAAAAATGGTCAAAGATCTTTTCAGATTCTGATTCTTCAGCATAATTAAAATCACACCACACACCACACCACCCTCTTACATCTATCCTTCAAATCATTTTTACTCGGGCACTCCCTGCAGCTGGCACATTCAACGAAGTGAAGTCACAATTTCGACTGTGCCGGTGAGGTCAGCCACTCAGTAGACTGAGTGGGCTGTCAACTCAACATGTTCCATTCCGGGCGCCTGTCAGTCTGTCTTTTAAAGTGTCTGCTCGTTTCGTGTGTATGTCTGCCTGTGGGTCCATCTGCATGATGTTTGCTGAAGACGTCATAACGGAGCGGTTTAGAAAAAAAGCGAGTAGCCGAAGATAAGATGCAACGAAAGCATCATTTCAGGCGTAATTTATTTGGCCAGTGTTGTAAGTATTGATGTTCACATTTCCATGCACTAAGATACTATGTGGATATTTAAGACAAAGGTCACATCCAAT